ATTTATCAAATAAAAACTTTTTATAGTATATATTTATTCTAATATTGTATAATTTAAAGCGCGCTGCGGCTAAAAACCGAGATTAGCGTAGCTAATTGGGCCAAAATCAGGTAATTCAAAGTTGTACTTATTTACAGTTATACTGTATATGAGTGCTATTGAATTGCCTGGTTATAGTGTTACCCTAAATAGGTACAAAAATGAACAAGAATTTATCCAGGAATTGAAGAATTATTGTGAAATTGGTTATGAAAACTCTTTATTCCTGAACTGTTATGAAGTATTAAGAAATTATCATAATGATTATATTATTGTTTTGCAGATTGCACCAGAAAATTCATTACAACAAAATCTTGTAAAAGTATTAAAATCGGAATGGAAAAATAAATTGAATATCTTGTACTGCATAGCTTTGGATCTCGAATCAATCAATTCATGAAGATTCGATTACTGAGACTTACACAGTGGAAAATTTTGCAAGAATATTTGCATAATATACATATTACTGATCTTGGACTTTCTAAAAAAGTAGAGGAATGAAAATTTGTGGAATTCCACCATATAAAGCACCGAAGTTTTAGTAGGCCAACCGTATACTCAAGCATCAGATATTTATAGTCTTGGAGTTATTGCAAGTAACTAAGATTTTAGCTGGACAAAGAGCATTTGATGGAATTCCATTTAGTATCAAAAATTATTGGTGAATCAAGACCTAAATGTTTAAGACCAGATTGTTGTATTAAATTAACTATTAAATGTATGGATAAAGATTTTGATAAACGGTCTACAACAACAGAAATTATTAAAATAATAACAATTTTTTAGATAAAATGTATTATGTTAATGATAATAAAATCAAAAAACAACTTTTAGAAGCTAATAAAACTAAGCTAAAACTGATTGATAACTATATTTGAAAATTGTAACCTGATACCTGACTCACCCATGGGTAACCCGGGTGATGCATACCCGGGTCCAACCATTATATTCGGACTCAAACCAGTTTGCAGACTTCGGACCAGACCCGGACCAAACTCAAACTCGACTAAAAAGTCTGAATATAAAAGTCTGAGTCTGGTCTGAAAATCAGACCAGACCCAGACTTGACTAAAGTCTGGTTTGAGTCTGGTTTGTAGAAGTACTAATAGTAAATTTATATAATAATCTGAGTCACATTTTACTAAGATCATACTTCTGCTAAGTGGCGAATCATCTATTAATAAAAAAAAAAGCATCTCTTTGCTTTAAAAGATTTATTAATTGATATATCAAGTAGTTAAACTTTTGATATTAGTCCTCCGAAAATTACCATAATATTGGTGTTTTTTTAAAAAAAAGGTGAATTTACATATGTATCCGGAAAGTGAAAATAATTACAAATAAGTGCTTAGACTAAAAATAATTACATATAAGTGTCTGATATTTAAAAAATATTACATATAGGTGCCCAAATTATTGATAGTTGAAAAAATGTGACTACTATGCTACAAAAGTACGAACTAAAATTATCAAATTGCCGAATGTATTTATTATAAGTGAATAAAGAATAAATAAAGCATTGGTTATAATTATATTTGCAATAATATTTATTAAAAAAATTTAAACTTTACATTAGATAGCATCTATGCATGTTGCCTTAAACTAAAGAACTAATTTTTATTTTTTCAATGCATACCTTCGACTACAAGTATGTACATTATGCTCTTTTTTGCCATATTTACCACAGACAAGTTGGTCTTCTGGTGCAGTCTCTGCACGGCTACATAAATGAATTTTTCGTAGTTGTTTTGCTTGTTTGATCATGGCTAAGTAGTTTGTTGGAGTCAACCGAATAGTTCTCTAGAGCTGAGCAAACACTTTCCATATCAGGAAATTTCATACCGATTTGCAGTATTGTATTTGATATTATTGTTATTGATCAGGTTTGTTATAAAAATAGGTATTATTATTATTAACAAAGCAAATGAAATTTATTAAAAAAAAAGATGAAAAGCCCATTTTTTCTCTTATTTATAATTACATACTAATTTACAATTGATGATTACATTTTTTATACTATGCTTACTAATAATTTAAAATTATGTACTAATTTACAATCGATGATTACATTTCTTATGCTATGCTTAATTAATGACGATCCAGCCACAGGCTTGAGTCACAATATGTTCTTGGGCACCTATATGCAATATTTTTTAAATATCAGGCACTTATATGTAATTATTTTTAGTTCAGGTACTTATTTGTAATTATTTTCACTTTTTGGGTATCTATATATAAATTCTCCTAAAAAAAATTATTTTTAACAGAAGCAACTAGATGATCTCTAAAAGAATCTAATACTAATAACATGGTATATGATTTTTTCAAATTTTCTCTATCTAATAATTCATTTCTATTTCATTCATCTATCTTTTTTCATTAGCTCTAATAATTACATCTGGCAGAAACTCAAGCTATGGAATATTTTTTAGTTTAAAAAATAATCATTTGTAGTAACTTTTTGCTATCTGCTATACATGCAAGTATGGCAGTAAAACAGGATTTTTCATAACCACAAGTTTTAATACTAATAGTTTTGCTTCCTTTATTATCAATAGTTACATTGTTTGGTATTAGTAATGCCTGATGAAACCATGTGATACTAATTATTACATGTTATTACTTATAAAAAACCAAAATAAATTGTTGATTTTTATATACTAAAACATGTAACAATTAGCATTACATGGTTTCATCAGGCATCACTACTTGGCATATCAAAAAAAGAGAAGTTTTATTCATATTACCTATTAATGATAATAAATAATCATATTGAATATGATGGTATTAAATAAAATTTAAGAATTCTTGCTACTGTATTTTTAACTGCTCTGGTAATTTTTAAGCAATAGTTGTTTTGCAATAGTTACTAAAATTATAATAGCAAAAAAACCTTCAAGTGACTTGCTACTATACTTAAACTTGTCAATATTAGGATATTGGAGAGTATATTGTGAGGACTTTGCTAATGCTGCTGCTTTTATTTGTACTATATTTCAACTAACTGGTTTTAAATTAGCATGTAAAGTTTGAACCTATTCAGCAAGCTCTGCTTCAAAATTAGGATAATTTGGTTGAGCACTTGCATTAAAATACTTAATATAAGGCTGGGCAAATAATAGCTATTTTTGCTTGGGTTGAAGCTAAAATTTATTAGCTATTCCATAAATAGTAGTACCAGAAATTCTTTTAAGATAAAAAAGAATAAAAAGTTTTTTCTAGGCTGTTCACTATCGTTTTCTTTTTTGTTGAAGGATGGTTGTAAGGATACTTTTCAGGCATAATATAGTTAAATATTGCAAAAGGTAAGTTTTTTTTTAGAATGTTCATTCTTAAGAAAAGGTTCTATCTTAGTGTAAAAAAATGCAACTTAAAAGACACATAGAAAGTTTTATGGTATCTTATAAACATAAAAAAAAAACAATTGCAAGAATTTCTTATAAACAAAAAAAAAAAAAAAAATTTATTGCAAAAAAAAAACTAAAAAAAACACAATTTTTTGCTTTGGTGAAAAAACATACAGTAGAACTATATGTAAAGCTTATTTGAACTGTATACAAGCTTATTAATTCAAACATAGCACTATATGTAAAGCTTATTAATTAATAAAACAGAATCATCCTATTAATTATGAAAAATTGATACGATATCATTTATATATCATTTCCATTTAGTATACCCCCTTTACAAAAGACCCTCACATAATGTACCCTCTTCTATACAATATACAAATCAAATTTTTATCACGTGAAACTTAAAATACCCGGGTATTTTACACGGTAATTTACGGTACAAACCCTTGACTATCCGTGTAACTGAATATTGGATATTCAATGAATACCTGTTTCCAACCGTGAATATTCATGGATCCGACCTCTATTATATAAACAGGTGACCTTTGCAGGCATGCTTGCCATAGCATTTGGTTATTAATATATAAACTTATAATTTTAATAAAAAAACACTATTGATTCTATAAAACTACACGTTAACCAAATCACTATCTATAAACCCTCTCGTTTGTCAATATACTTACAACTATAATAAACCATTGCGTGTATCCGTGCTCACGTGACTCCCTGTTATTAGTTGAACCGTTAACCTCGTTTTCCGAGAGGTATCATAGGTTAACACCATCACATGCATGTCGATCACTCAAATTTCATAGTAAAAAATTTGCCCTTTGATCTGTGTGACAATCGTGACTTTACTCGCTATAATAACTTTGGACCGGTTAGGCACAATTTACTTCGAGTTAGACATCAAATCAGGATGACAGGTTGGCGGGTCTAATCTCTAGATACAAGTAATTCAAGTAATTCTCGATATAAGAAGGCTAGTTAAAATTCGATATAAGAAAGTTAAAGCAAAATTAATCTACAATAAATTCACTCGATATAGGAATGTTGTTGATAAGCTCTCGATATAAGAAAGGTTTGTAAATTTTTACTATTGGCCCTGCCATCTTTCTTATAGAGAAAATAAAATTGAAAGTACGAATACGTACTGTCATCTAAATATGTATGCTATATGTTAATATAGAGCAATAAACTGGAGCGAGCGAAATTTTCAAAATGCCAATAATTATAGATTACTCAGATTTTAAACAAGTCTACTTTTAAATTTGTGTTAACTTTATTTGCCAATTAGTCTGTACAGTGATTTTTTGGTCTGAATAATAATTGCTAATATTATTACGAAATGTAATAAATATTTTTAAAAAAATCCATTAATAATGGTGCTTTCAACAAGTTTTATTAGCTGTAATAAGGAGCATGCAACCTATTAACGTTAAATGTATAAACTTCGATTTATCTTGTCAACTATTCAAATTTTGGGTTATCATCTTTATTAAATATTTTAACGTCCAAATAGTTCAATTGTTATCTTTCTATAAATCACACTTATTTTCACTTTATTTTGGTGTAGGAGACATATTAATAAATTCACTCAATGAAAATGCCGAGTTTGGCGTCGATAAATCAATTGCAGAACGAATTTGATGTGGTGGGGTTCTTGGAGGGTCAAGGTCAGCAGTTGTCAAAGGAACCCTTGTCGAGGATGAAGCCAAAGAGGCTAGTGTTTGAACATTTCTTGGTGTATGTGGTGGGGAAGACGCCAAAGGCGATGATGGCAAATTCGGCAAATGAGAAAGTATTGCATTGGGAAAATTAGAGTCAACGGCTGCCCAATCGTCTAAGGCAGCTCGGAAAATAGTGCCGGGGGACATTGCTAATGTTTGAGTAGATTCTGTGGTGCTGTCTTTGGGTGTCTTTTCGTCATCGTCGTCTTCATAAGTACTTGCAGCCAGAAGTTCATCAAGAAATGTATCAGGTGATATGGAAGTTGCAAGTGTTGATTCTGCACCTGTATTGTCTTTTTGTGCGACGCTTGAAGTTGCCCAAAGTTCATTGAATAACTGTCCTGGAGACATGGACGTCGAAGCTGTCTTTTGTGGGACAACGGAACTAGCAGTTGCCCAGAGTTCATGAAATAATGTATTTGGTGACACCGAGACTTTTTGTGAAGATAAAGAATTTTCACTAATAGTTTGTTTTGAGCTCATATGCAAATTATTTTCTGTAGCACCAAAGAAGTCTTCCATCTCAACGTCCTCATTTGTTGAATGTACAGACGGCTTTGAGCGCTTATTCTTTCCTTTTCTGGTAGTCATGGTAATCGATTTTCTCTTCTTTGTTTTCTTTTTTTTAGTATTTTCCTCCAAAGCTTTTAGAATAACTTCAGAAACCACCGGATTTCGGGTGATCACGTGATTGGTGGCGTGACTTGGTTCCGGAATCTTTGAAGTGAGTGGGATCAAAACAGGAGGCGGATGCAACAATCCTGTACTTGATTGTCTCGAAGATTGGTCGCGTGATTTTTTAGATTTAGTAGTTAATTTGCTTGGCTCAATAGATCGTAATGATGTTGTCTCCAAAAAAGATTGTCCCAAATCTTGTGCACAGAAATTGTCTGATCCAATAAATTGCGAAGTTGTTAGTAAAGATGACATCGGATCTTGGTTAATACATAGATCTTGCGACACCATTTCTAGTGAATCTAAATATTCATATATTGCGGCAGCTTTCGATTCAGAAAGCCTACTATTTTTAATCCTTCCTAATATCTTCGGAACGGGAATCGCATTTATACGCATTTTTTCTTCAAATAAAATTTCACAAGTCGCGACATCGTATTTCTCCCATCCATTTTTGATTTTAAACGTTGCATACTCTAAGCCAAGTCGTATTCGTTTTGCGACCTGGTTTTATGATCAATCTGTTAATTATCTAGATTTATTATCCTAAATCAAACGATACTCTGTTTTTCTATTAACCATAACTTAAAATAAGCGAATGTTTCATCAATCCTTTGCTTTGATGAACTTCTACGTGGTCGTATTTACCTCTACAATATCTATATCTTTTCGTGTATATTCACCAAGTGGATCATTTTTAAGCTGTTCGATAAGTGCTTCCAGGTCTTTATCTTCATTAATTTCTTTGTCGGTTACTTTCGAAAAGTCCTGCTTTCAAACATTTTATAACCACTGTTTACTACGATAAAGACAATTCGAAAAAAGAGTTGTTTTACGTGACTTACCTCTAACATGGTTAAATCTAAGTGTTAATAGATTGCTGCAAAGTACTGTTTTAAACTCACACACAATAATTTTGAACACCTTAGGAGAAATTGTATTTTCGACAACTTAAGCGCGTCTCCTCGAAATAAAAGATAGATTCTACTTATAAATAAATCGAAAATTATGCCGTATAAATGGGTAGGACGAAACAAAGATAATGGGAACATATGGTGTAACTGGAATCACCAAAACAGAAACATAACACGCGTTATACACACTACAGCAATCTGCATAGTACAGACCATGAGTTTCTTTACCATACTGTTTACCGTTAAATTACGATAATCTTTTTTGTTAAACTGACAAAAAAAAACTTTTTTTTTTTTTTTACGAATTATTCAATTTTCTTTAAGCTATCGTTTTGATTCATCTTTACACTTCCATTATACTATGTTGCAACATTGCTTTATGAATTCAGGTAATAAAATTTTAAAATATCTTATGTTAAACTATAATCCATTACATTAATGTCGATAACTTCATTTTGATCGGTAAAGTTATGGTTACCAAAGAAGACGATAAGCCAGAATCAGGCATCTGGTTTTTACCTGTTTAGATTTAAATATGTTAAACAAATGATTTGCTATCTCAATATGTCAAATTGTCTAATTAAATTATTTCTTTGTCTTTACGATGTATTTTTTAGAAAATAATTTATCTGTTAATTGAGGTCAAAAAACTACTCTTGATTTATATTTTTATTAATTATATATATAGATATAAACTTAATTGTAATAGCAACTTATTTTTGAGTTAATTTGTAATAAAGTATAGTAATTTTAGTTTAGTTAATTACTATTTATAAATTTTTTTTTTACTAAATATATTTAAAGTACATAGTTTATTATAGATTCGGGTTTTATACTAATAATTTAGATTTTATTAACAGTTACAGGACATGTTTACATATAAGAGTTTGGATTGCTGTTACTTATAAATCAAATAAGTTAATTTATCTTATTTTTATATATTTAAATTTAATTTTTGTAAAATATATATAAATTTTTTTTAAATTTTAAATATATATTTAATAATTTTTTAATTTCAAGTAGTTTGAAGTAGATCTTTTTTTAAAGTTAATTAATTTTTTACTATATTTTTTAAATCAAATAATTAATACTATATATTTTATATAATAATATATAGTCGTCCTCCCATATAATCACCCAGTTTGTTTAGCACTTTTTGGTAATTGTATAGAAGGGTGATTAAATAGAATTACTTCTATATAATTACACAATATACAATAATATATATAATGTGACTTTAAAAAGGCAAATAAGTAGAATTATTTGGCAGTTTACTATTATAGTACTTGCCACATAACTATTAAGTATTTGTGTATAATAACAGACGGGAGCATTAATTTGAAATTTGCCTTTTCAGAAAATTATTTAAATTACACCCATGCGCGTCCCAAAATAAAGTGCACTAACCTTTTTTGTAACTTAATTAGCAACATTTTGTTTCGAATCGATCACAGGTGTATATTAATTAATCAGTTC